GACAGCTCCTAGAGATCCCACGAGAAGCAGGCCCACCCGTCAGAGTCCTGCTGCCACAGCCCCTACCCACCTACTGTCACATGCCCTTGGTAGCTGCCCAGGCACTTTGTATGCCCCTGACCCCTACCTCCAGGCTGCCACATCAGCTCCTCTTCCCCAAGAACTGCCTCTGGGGGAGGGGCACGGCCCCAACCCCCTACAGCTAGGTCCACAGGGAGAGAAGGAGAGGGGCCGGAGCAGGAGCACGGGCCCTGTCTCTAGGCCAGGGGTCCCCCCTCTGTCCGTGTAGGAGCAATGGTGTCCAGCCCCCAGGGCTACTGTGGCTACCCCAGAAAAGTGCTGTAGAAACACACAGCATGAGTCCCTTGGGCAGGGCAGCTGTGGGTCAAAGCCAAAGAACACCCAGTCCTCCAAAATGTGACCAAGGGCCACGACCATAGGAGGTGTCTTGTGTCCCAGGCTGCAGGGCACAGGGCTGTGTCCCTGGTGGAGTCAGGGAGGAAGAAGGTACCAGGAAAGACTCAAGGAGGCTGGCCTAGGAAGCCCACGAAAGCCCAGAGGCGGGTACTGGTCCCTCCAAACAGAATGGAGTGACCCCAGAAGCCAGCTGAAGCTGGGTCCTTGGGGAGCCAGCACCCTGGGGGAGAATGAGCCCACCCCACAACTCAGCAGAAGCCTTCCTGAAGATCCATGTCCACAAATTCCTGAGAGGTCCAGGACCCCACCCCTCTCTGATGGGAAATGATCAGATTCCCATAGACCCTGGTGCACAGCGCTGGCCATGCACCTTATAGTCTCCAAAACCAGGAGCCACTGGTTCACACATGAAGGCAGAGCATGGTGTTTCCTCGATATTGGGTGGCAGCCAACCTCCGTGGGAGTGGACTGAATGGCCCCTGGCCACAAGGTGACAGCGACCCAGGCTCTGCCCACTGAATCTTTCCCTGGGACAGCACTGACCATGATGCAAACACCCAGAGAAAACTGGCCCAGCAGTAGGCTCCCCAGAACTCTGCATCCCCAAGCCCAGCCCATCAACTCCCACCCTCACAGAGCTGGCTCTAGAAGCTTCCACCCAGCTCTTAGGGCACTGTGTCCAGCACAATTCCATCACTTGCAATCATAGAATCCTTTCCAGCACTGTGGGACCTGGGCAAGCACCTGGAAGCAAGGCCATAGACATATCCAAGGTACATGTTTATAAAGCAGGCAACATGAAGGTACACAGCTCGACTCTGGTGTCAAGTGACTTCCGCCCCATACAGACATGCGCCGAGACACAATCCGGCTGGAGGAGTGTCTTTGTCTTCATGAGGTTCTTTTCCCAGCATGTCCCGCCAACGTGCACTGCCTCTGTAAACTGGAAGATAGGCGATAACGCCGCCTTTTTAACCAGAGCTCATTTCCTGAGTCGTGCGGAGATGACAATGAAGCCAGCCCTGCCCAGAAAATAAGGCAAGTAGCTGACCTTGTAAGCAGAGGGCTGTGCTCTTATGAGCTGGCTCCCCGCTGTTAGAAGACTACTGGCCCTGAGGGCCATCATACCAGCACAGTGTGGGCTCACGCACCTCCAGCACAGGACACCTAGCACTCCTCCTGGGACACTCTTCCCTGACCATGCAAACCCGAGAGTTTCTCCTTGCTCTGGCGGCTAAGGCTCAGGCTTCTCTGCCTCAGGGACTTTGCATGTGCTATTTCTGTGGCCTGCAATCTTCTTCTTTAGCTCTGGCCATGCTACTTCCATTTTGCTGTTAGGGTTCTGACTGAAACATCTGAGCACTCAGAGCTCTAACAGGAAATGGCCATCTGCTAGGCGAGCCTGAGGCAAGGGCTAAGGTCTATCAGGAAATGTGGTACATCACTGAACTGCTGCAGGCCAGGGGATGGACAAGAAGTCAGGGAGGAAGCAGGCAAGCCCTGGACCTCTAGGCTGCGGCCTTGAGAGAAGCCTCCAGGGTAGGCAGCTAACACCCCCCACCCCATTCCACCACTGGCCCTAACAGTTCTCTCAACTTCCAGCCTGTCCTGAACTGGTGGAGACAATGAGCCAAGGGAAAAAGACCGGAAGCAACCAACAAGAACTTGATCCCTGCCTGAGGACAGAAGGTCATGCTGGGTCACAGAGGCTGGCAGAAGATGGGGAAGTAGACCCCAGTCCCACACTGAGGCCCAGGGAGGTAGGTAGACCACTCAAAGTCACATGGTAAACTGAGATGCAGGCCCAGCATGCCCTCCCCTGGCATCCATATTCAGCCCAAGCAAAGCCCCTTCTACCTAGGCCTGGGGCCTGCAGGCAGTTGGGACAGGCCTCTGCCTGAACAATCAAGACTTTCACCTAGAGGATAGGTCGGCTGGCTATATCAATCCCCGCCCCTCTGGGCCTCCCTGTGCACCAAGAGTGCCCACCCACCCCAAGAGACCTCAGCAGCCCCCGGCAGCCACTGAGGCAGTGTGGGAAGCTGGAGATGGCTCAACTCCAGGGGAATCCAGCCAGCATCCCCGGGGGCAGCCAAAGTTGGAGAGGCACACAGAGCAGACCCCAGAAACCCCTTCTAGCCCCTGCCCTCCTGGAGATGGCATCACATGCATAGCACCCACTCAGATCACACTCCTGGGATGAAGGCCTTGCAAATACGGTAGCCCAAGACTCTCGGTCCTTTTTTTTTGTTTTTTTTTTTTTGACCCTCTGTTCTAAGAGAGCTTAACATTGGTGGATGCTAACCCCACCCTTCCTCTGCTAAAGGCCCAGGTTCCAGCAGGGCCCCATGCACACTCATAATACCTCATAACAGTTCCTAATGCCATGGTCCCAGTCCCCTGTAATGGGACCCCAGATTGACTGGCTCCAGTGGGGCAGGGACACTGGCTTTCCCCTTGCTCCCTGGGTGAGGCTGGGCCAGGCTTTCTCTCTGGGCCTCAACTTTCAAGAATCTATGCAGGGAGATGTCCCAGCTGTCTGAAAGTGGATGGGAAAGGTAGTTTCACATAGGCCTTAAGGGGACCTGGGGGTCTTCTTGGGGCCTTTGCCACAGTTTCTGCCAATGGGCTGTGGGGGTAGGAAGTAGCAAAGGATGGAGGCTGGTCTGATCTTGCCACAACTCCCAACTTCTGGCTATATCTTCTCTCTGGAGGTACTCCTCTCCAGCAGGGCACAGACAGCTAAAAGGGTGCCCCAGGTCAGGATGGGTAAAGGGTCACTACCCTGAGCGGGACACAGCAGCCACCCCTACAGCTAGCAACACCTCACCAGAAAGGCAGGATGGGGCCCACAACCAACCACTGCTCACCCACCCAGGAAGGGAGGTCCTCCTGCCCACACCTGCCGCAACCCTGCATCAAAGGCATAGCAGCACTGATTTCAAGATGTGCAAAACTCAGAGAGATCAAGAGCCTGCCTGAAAGCGCACAGAGGGCAGGGGCAGGATACACGTCCACAGCCCCGCACAGCGAGCAGAGGCGGCGGGGGATGGAGACAGACTGGTTTCCACACCGTGAATTATTCAGTGGCTAATTCTGCTCCTCAGAGAGAAGTGAGTCAGAGCTCTCCCACAGCAGAGCAGGGAGCAGGGCAGAAAAGGGGGCAGAAACCAGGGCCCCTGTGGGCTGCAGGCATCATTGCCCCTCACTCTCTCCTTGCCTTGAGTGCCACAATCCAGGCACGCTGGTGGGTGAGGGGGGCACATTCAACCACGGTTGCAGCCCAAGTAGACAGCAGTCCATGGGCTGCAGGAAATAGCCAATAGGATGCCCCAGAGACAAAAAACAGCCATCAGGATGCCCCAGGGGCCTCCAGACCTTTCAGAAATGACAAACGGGTCCAACCCTTGGGGCAGACAACTTTCCAAGCAAAGCACACTTCTGCAGCACTCCTCCAGGAAGGGAAGTGACAACGTCACCCCACAGCCACTGTTCTGGGGAGCTTGAGAGAAGTGTGTATTCCTCCTCCCAACCGCTTCCTGGCCAGGGGTTCACACCAAACCTCTTCAGGCCATCTCTGGGCATGCCTGGGCCAATCCCTCACCCCCTTTCTAATCTGCTTAGAAACACCATCAGCTGGTGGACCTGGAGTCGGGTAAGCAAGGGAGCAGGGCAGCAAACCTCCCATGGTGCCCTTAGCCTCCACTTCCGGTTGTCCTCTGGGTAAGGGAGGCCGGGAGAACACAGCTGAGCAGGGAGGTGCCACTTGCCCCCAAACACTGGATTCCCACGCCACCCCAGCTCCACTGTGATCACCAGACAAACCCTAGGGTGCTCTCAGAGTGGCCATTCAACCTGGTCTGGAACCCTAATCCCCACAGAAGAAGCAAATGCCCCTGTCCCTGTCCCCTGCCCTACACTCAAATGACAGCCAGGGGTTGGAGGTGGCACCCAGACTTGGCACGATGCCAGGTCTAGAGCTCTACAGGGAAAAAGGGCAGCCAAAGGCCCCCACTGCCCCCAGATCTGCCTCAGCTCAGCACCTTCCCGCCTTCAGACTAAGGCCCACCTCGCTGCACCTCCCTCCCACAGGGCTCTGCCAGGCTGGTGTCCCACAGCTACATAAGACAGCATGTACACTCCACAGCCTGACCACAGTGCAGGGGATCATTACTGGCCACAGTGGGCTGGCGTCCATCCAGGGTACTCACCCACCAACAGCCTGTCTCGGGATTCCCCAACGGGAGCAGGAGGGAGCAAGGAATTCCCTCCTGCCTGCACCCAGAGTGCCCAGGCCTGGGCTCTGTTCTGGGGGCCCTGGGTAGGAGGCTCTGCTGGAGAATAGCGCCAGGCCGCCCCCGCCCAGGATGGATCCGGGGGCCGTGGGGCCGAAGGAGGCGGCTCTACTCACCTAGCGGAGACCCTGGTAACATGGGAGGGGGAGCCAGAATCTGGAGGTCCCTCGAAGAGGGGGCCCGGGGCCCAGAGGGGACCCTCCAGAAGGAAGGGGGTTGGGGGCTTCCAGGCCCCAAGGACTGGGGCCGTGACCTGGAGCCTGACCCCAGGCTGGGGGCGCGCGTCACCTGCTGGTAGTCGGCGTCCTCGGGCCGGAACCGGCTGCTGGTGGCCTCCCAGCGCAGGTCGAAGTGGGGCAGCCGATGCAAGAGGCTCACCCACCACGGCGCCGCGTAGCTGACCCCGGCCATGGTGGCCGGTGCCTTGGCCGCGCGGGCTCCCTCGCTGCCCGGGCACGGGGCTCAGGGACCCGCCGACCCCCGCCTGGAAGCCCGCATCGCCCGCGCGCT